GATTGTGAGTACTAAAAAAAAAAAAAAAAATGGCTGCCTACTGACTTGAAACATTCCATTTGGTGCTAATTTAAGACGTATTTCTCTCTTAATATATTGGGACTCAATTTGAACCTCATTTATAAAAATTTTGAAATATCCAGCCCAATCTTTCATACATTTTAGCCGTTCAGGACATCTGAGATCAAACCAAGAAAGAAAAAGCATGATATATGTAAAGAGTATGTGTCATTTTTGGACTTAATCAATTAGGATTATAAATTCCAGAGAGCATTAACTAGCGATGTATGACCACACTGAAGATGCTTGATGCACTAACAATATCACTGCTGATAAATAAAGCTAAAATTAATTAAGGCAAAATATATATATTTGTGTTTTAGGTTCGTAGCAAGCAGCATTCCCTTATAATGTGTGATCCAATGATGTAAAAAGAAAATTAAATAAATGATTCAGCTCTGACTCCCCCCTCCCCCAAGAAATAAAGAGTGAAATTAGATTTTTTTATTTTTTTTTTCCTCATCGCTGAGTTATTTAGCAAACTCATACTGTATCCTGTGCGATGGGATGGACCGAAACTAAAACTTTCCCCCATGCTGCCAGGCTGGGTGACGTAAAACCACTGAACCATTGAAACCTGGGCTGTCAGTCATGCCATTGCTGCTGGTTTTCACACGCTGAACTTATGCGTTTGGAATTGTTGGAATGCTACAAATAAAGCGGCAGTGCCCTATCATGACTCAAGTTTATCATAATCGGAAAATCCACGTATGGAAGTAATCAGAGCGATCTGACATCATTCAGATAGTTTGGGCTGTTGCTCAATTTTTAACTTCTAAGTTCCTTTTCTTTATAAGTCAAATATTCAGCATGTTATTCCAACAGGCCACTTGAAAGTCACAGCTTTTCCTCTGTTGTTCTCCACAGATCTTTTACCATAAAAGCTGCATTAAATATGTATGACCAATGAATGGTTATAAAACCTCTAAAGCTCAGACTTACATGCATCCTTCCATTAGAGGCCTTCATCTGAAGGTCCCTGGTTTTATGGTGACCATGTCTTTAAATCTCCAGATTTCTCTTTAGGTCCCTCAAGACTTTTGATGAACAGTTTAACATGCAGATATCTGAACCTCTGTGTCATTGGAGCTGCAGTAAACCCCCAAACTATTAGTGCCAACTCTTTTCAAAAAATTTTTACATTACGGTGACTACGTTTGTGCATGTTGATGAGATTTTATGCTGGCTAGCAGAAAGCAATGCATAACTGCAGTCAGTACTATAGGAACGATTTTGTTCCGTAAAAATTCAAAAAATATCCACTGGACTTGGTTTTCAAGATTTGAAGACGTTTCTCCACCTCTCCAGGAAGCTTTCTCAATTCAAATGTCTGGATCCGCAGTGAGTTTGAGTCTTATAGGCTAAAGACAAAGC